ACTACTTTTTGCAAATCATAAAATACTAAATCTTTTTTGACAGCAAAGTTGATTTAATCTGGCACATTCTAAATTCTTTCAGGTGGATTGGTACACAGACATTGTCTACACACATTGGGCTCGAGCACTCTCTACAAACAATGAAAGGAATTGCAACATGCAGCATTTATATCATCCCCAATGCTGCGATTTTCAGTGCTGGTTGTAAACAGAATTGTGCAAATAATGAAAAGAACACATTTTGTGAAATCTTGCAGTTTTTATATGCATGTGAAATTTTCTGTATTGAAATAAAAAATCTGTTTATCAGTAAAAATAGGTGTAAAACATCTATCTTGTACCATTTAGACAACCTTCATGTCTCTTTAGAGACAAAACATCTGATTCAAATTTTCTCTACAGCACGACAAAATCAATAATGGTGATGGTCTCAACCTGATATTGCATGAAGAGAAAGAATCGACTGAGAAAGTTAAACTTTGATGAAAAACTGTGGCAGGTTTTCCAAGGTGTTTTGAGGCTCTATTTATGTAAAAAGGCTGTCAAACAGCCAGGAATTGCAAAGACAATTTAAGCCTCCCGCTTTATAGCTGCAAAAAAGAAAAATAATTTTATGAATATTTTGGCATCTTCAGTTTAGTCTTTTTGTGTCACTTTATGTCACTTTTGATAGATGTTTTTTCTTGTCATCAAATAAAGCTCCTTTGTTGCATATTGTTCTCACATCTTCTTTCTTCAAGAAGTAATTTTCTTTGGCTAGCGTAACATTACATGAGTTACATCAGGGTTAAAAACTGCAATACAGGTTCAGACAGTTGACTAAAGAGAAGCAAAGCTGAACCATGGACCTCTACAAGTTTGTGCAATAGCAGCTCTTTAGCTGATTACCTTTACCCTGCTCTGTCACATTTCTACACAAGTGGGGGTGGTTTCTGTCTCATTTATGGAGGTGGTGAGGCAATCCAAATCTGTAGTTACTATTTTATCTGTGGTTTAACATTTGTGTGCACTATAGGAACAGACATCTCTCCTCTTCAGGTGAGTTCTCAAGGCTACAAACAAAGCTTCAGTAAGTAGAAAGTCTTGGAAGAAACCACACAACTGATCGAGGACAAAGCGGCTTGACAACGTGGAATAGATGTATGGTCTTTGGCAGGTGTTTATTTCCCCAAAAGCCCGAATTTCTGCACAATACCTTTAAATGCTTTGTTCTAGTGAAAGTCATGACTAAAGTATTGAATAAAAATATTAGTATAACTAATTCTTTTTTGCTGTTTTTCTCTCCAGGGGCCTTTTTCTCCTATTAATGGTTGAAAACTGAGAGAAGATTTTCCAACATGCAGGGTGCAAGTGGCTTTCTAAATGTATTCAACATTGCGACCAGCAAAATATCTGTGACACTCTTCCTCATTTTTCTTGGTCTCCTCTACTGGTGAGTATGTCAATGATACACTTTTTTCAAGGGAAATGAGGACACGTAGATAATCTGCTAGTGCCA